GGGGGGCGGCGCCCATGGCCTGGGGGTTGGCCGAGCCGTAGTAGGCGGCCTGCTGCCGGTAGTACTCCGCCCAGGCCGCGCTGTAGTCCGGCTGACCGCCGGGCTGGGTGGCGGCCGCCGCGGCTGCCGGGGCGGCCTGAGGGGCCGCTTGACCTGGAAGGCGTGGAAAAGGGGGGGGGGGTTATCTAGTGGTACAGCCGACATGCAAATACCAGATCCTTCTCTTCAAGCTGCTCAACTTTAGATGCTCCCTTATAGTCTAGTAGAACTAGTGGTTCAGTTTCAGATTAAATATTCAGCCTCAACTGTTCTGATGAGCTTCTAATCACTCAATAAGGCCACAAAGCTGAATAAAAAGCGCTAAATCCTGGTTTGAACCTTCGAGGCGGCGACATTTACGACTGGTTTCAGATCAGCGTCCTCTGTGAGGCAGACGACAAAATCAAAAGCTTCGAGTTTCAAACCGCCCGCTGTGCTCTGAGCCAGCGCCACCTCCTCTCTACAGAGCCATCATTTCACACTGAAACTCCTTGGTGGAGACGTTACCCCCCCCCCCCCCCCTCCCGCACAGTTTATATTTAGATCAGACACCAAATGGCCGCCGCTGCAGCTCAAGCATTCCTGAGGCGCCAGAACGGCCGCCGCTGGCCAGCCCGTCCTCTAGGTGGCCCCCCGCCCGCGGACCGGAACGGACCAGTAATAGTTAATCGTTTGCATTCTTCATCTCAGAGTCTGAATAATCTTTTATTTTGTAAAATTACCAGAATCTCTCGGTCACTTGAGCGCCCAAAATTTTACCCACAAATTAGCTAAATGGGCCCAATGAAAGCCCCAATGTATAGACAGCCTCCAGCTTTTAAAAAGACAACACCAGGAGTCGAGCATTCCAGGATTAAGAGACAAACCCCTGGAGTATTTAGAAAGGAAAAAATAAAGATGCATACGAGTATACAGCGGATTCACGTTCATTATTATTTTCGCTATATAAACAGCAAGCGTTGACCGGTCCAGTTGGGGACCACCGCTCTAAAGGCGGGCACAATGGTTGTACGAAGGGGAACGAACCCGGCGGCCGCGGCTCTGGGTCGCGGGTCAGAAACCTTCTGCTTTTATATCGGGCGGTTGTGTGGACAGCAGCTCTATGACAGAGAGCCGAGAGAGAAACCAACCGCCCTGAACTACACCCCCACCGCCCATGAGCAGGCACCACGGAGTGAGGAGCGGAGCACCGACCTTGTTTCTTGTAGTACTCCTCCCAGGCTTTCGTGTAGTCCTGAGGCTGCTGATTCTGTTGACCTGCGGACAGAAGAGAGGAAGCCACGCGTTAACGGCGCTCCGGTTCAAATCCCGCAGACACCAACAGAAAAGAAAGAACAAACAAACGAGCAAACAGACAACCACATCGTCCTACAGTGCTCTTATGCGTAGGCTCCAAATTAGACGTGGTGGTCGGCCAACTCTACACACGGGAGAGCCAGACATCCACCACGGGCCGGCGTTTCAGAGAAAACCCCGAAACGGCTCTAAACGATGGGATACTCTAAGCTCATGAAAGCGGCTCTGTGGCGACAGCTCAGTCCTGCAGATAGTCAAAGTGTCGCAGTCTAAACAGCACAGGCGTCAAATGTCAAACCAAGAGGAGGCACACTGGAGAAAGAACAAAAAAAAAAAAAAAAACAGCAGGCCAAATATCCAGACCTGAAAAGGAAGCTGACTGCACACCCAGTGGCTGTTTAGACTGGCTGGTGTTAATAGATGAACACTGAAACTATGTTCATATACCCATTTTCTTGTAATATTCCTCCCAGGCCTTGGTGTAATCTGTCTGTCCACTCTGACCTGCAGCCTGTGGGTCACCTGTTAAAAAAAACGGTACTTGTAATTAGCGAATCATTCTCAGCGGTTTGTCCTCCACATGCCTGGGTTGGGCTGGCAGCCTAGGGATGGTGGAGGAAAACTACCCTGCGCACCCTGGGGCTCGTAATCGAAAAAAAGAGGAAAAAAAGGCTCTCTGCGAAAAGCAAAGAGATTGGAAAGTGAAGCCAATCCAGCCCGTCCTCAGTTAGCAGCAGCGGCAGGAGGAAGCGAGCACAGACACCCGGCTGGCGCCGGGCTGGGGGGGGGGGACCACGTCGGCTCTAGGGCTCACCTTGACCGTTGGCTTGGCTGGTGCCGGGGGCGCCGCTGGTGGGGGTCATGCCGGCCTGGGGCTGCTGGCCGTACTGGGCGTAGTAGGCCGCCCACGCCGCCGCGTT